ATTCAAATTTATTTTAAGAAAGAAAGTCCTTTATTATATCTAAATATTAGAACTTAGAACATTCATAGTTTTTTTATTTGCAGATTACAAAAATAAATTAAAATGTGTTTAAAATATTTTTATATATTTTTTAAATAGAACTGTAAAATCGTTAATTTTATGATAACCTAATGAAGATTTGTCTAATATAAACAAAGTAACTGTATTAAAGTCAATTTAATTTGTAATTATCGGCAACTTCCTGCAAACGAATGAAATTATGAATTGAATATTTTTGTACATGGAAAAACTATTTAATATTGTGAGAAATAAAATTATATTAAATTAAGTTTATAGTGACTTTTTCTTTTATACGTAATATTTACATAACATTGAGTAACTTATTAATTTTAAAAGTCTTTACAAATGAAGAAATCATTGAAAAATATACGAAATTATAAAAATAGTATTACCTTTTTTTTATATGTCTTGATATAAAAATATAAATAAATAACAAGAAATTTCATCATTATTGAGCAAAATCAAAACTAAAATATCTAATTTTATAAAGAAAACAGTTTCATCACATTTCTAAGTAAAATCGATATTTGTAATTGAAAATCTGTACTAATAATATTTCTAAATAATTGATTTTTTCCCTCTTAAAGGTGAAATTACCTCTGCAGATTAACTTGCTGCTGAAATATGTCTATATTAAAATTCCGACAGTATCTTTTATTATTTGATAGACTTATTCATAATGAACCTTAACAATAAGAAGTAATCTAAGTTTTGATATTATGACTGTCGGTATTATGGTTGTCGAGATTTGGAATATCGGGAATTTGATTGTGGGGATTTCGATTACCAACGTTATATGACAAACTTTTTGAGCATGATGTAATAATAGAAGTTGTCTAAGTCTCTTCTGTGCTTTTGGAATAATCGTAGTGATGATTTTGAAATAACTTCGCTCACTGCCAGCAATTTGAAAAACTATAATTTTTTTTATATATAAATTATACTTTTATTTTGGTGCCAAGAACTAATATTCTGAATTTTCTAATACAGTGGAACCTCGCTTAACGAGCATAATCCGTTCCAAAATTTCCGGATTTTTACTCGTATAGTGGAACAATTTTCCCCATATAAACTAAAGTAATATACGATAATTCGTTCCATTGTTCTTACAATGTATTATGCTCGTTAAGCGAAATGTTCGTTACACTGTATAAATTTCGATTAATTATATTATTAATAATTTTGTAATAATATGAAGTGAAACACATCCTTCGATTTTTATTTGTAACAAGTTACATTGTAATATATTTTTATAAAAAACCAGTTAAAAAAAAAACTCAACGTATATTCTTGCAAAATGAGTAACATTTAGTTGGGAGTTTTTATTAGAATAACCAGAGGCTACGAAAAAACAGTTAACAGTTTGTAGTGCCATTGAATTGTCGAAATAATAATGTAAGTATACGTTACCTTTGCATGTACAAATTCACGGGAATTGATCCGAAATTACACGCTTCCAGACCCCCGTTCGGCTAACCCTCGACAGTGCCGCTCTCGCCGTGTGTTACAAAACATGGAAATTACACGTTCGCCTTTCTAGACTTTTGTAATTTTCGAGGATTCCCAACGGTACAAAATTTAAATAAATGCACGTCAATCTGGATGACATTTATTTCTTCTTTACATGAAAATCACATTTTTGTTCTCTTTTCTTTTGTATGCATAACGTTATTTCAACGTTTCATATTAGTTTATAAAATATTCTATAAGACGATTCATATAACTTTTTATACATGATTGACATAGATTTCTTTAATTGCTTTCAATTCGACAAATTAGTTTGCAAAAATACAATAAAAAAAGGATTTATATTTTAGGATTGATTATTTTATATACAGTGGAACCTAGCTTAACGAGCACCTCGCATAACGAACATTTGGCTTAACGAGCAAAATTAATTGTAAGAAAAATGACTCGCTTAACGAGCGACGTTTCGCATAACTTGTGTACACGTATTATGTGTATTTTTTGAATACGTTTCACTATACGAGTAAAAATCCGGAAATTTTTAAACGGATTAAAATCGTTAAGCCAGGTTCCACTGTATTTAAGATTATTCATTTGTAAAAATACATAAATTGTTGTGTTATCATATTGAAAATATTGTTTATTTATATATAAATAGAATTCTATTATAGATTTAACCAAATGGAAATTTAACTCATTTCATTAATTATTGAAAATTTTTAGTAGTTATAAAAGTTAAAATTTTATTTGTTTAAGCATTCTTGACTTTGTACAAATCAATTGAAGTAATATAATCAATAGAGAATGTTACGATTATTAACATTAAATTCATAATAAAATATTTCTGTTTATTAATTGATGTACAATTTATGAGCAAATTTGACTATAATATTTTATCATTTCAATTAAAAAGAATTAAAATTTTGTTAAATAAGGAGAAAAAAAATAGTAACAATTTGTGATTTTTTTCAAAAAATAAATCAATAAATTTATTTTACGAAACTGAATAAACCCGGCGGAATGAAATTTAAATACACGAAACGAAAATAAGAATTCTACGAAATTGCTATGCGCAAACAAAGTGCATATTAATAAGATTCATCCGCTTACAGATATTGATTCACTGTTCAAAAAAATGCATACCGATATTCACGTTATATTCATATCTTTCATTCTAAATCTTGATTTATTCTATTTTAATGAATGTAACAAACATTTAGCTTAAATAGGAAATGTAGAATTATTAACCTTTTCCAGCCCAGTGATCATAAATTTTAAATTTTGTCTTTCGACGATTAAAAGTATTGGAAGCAACTAATGTGAATTGAAGGTAGATGTATTTTTAACAGTAGGAAATTTTGAATAATGAAAAAAACAGGTAACACGTTTTTATTATTAAAGAAGTGCTTTTATAAAGATTTGTATTTGTATAATTTTCGTCAGTAAAATTCGTTTTTTGTAACATAAAAAATTGAATAATCTTATAAAATAATAAAGTTTATAAATATACTTTAATAAATGTAGAGTAATTAGGGAGCTTCATGTAAATACATATTATATTTACAGTACATCAATGTATGAAATTTAAAAGTTGTAATGAAGAATTATGCTTCTTTTGGTAATTTTTGGATTTTTGGACCAAGACTACAGCAATAGTTTGCAAAATGCAAATTAATTTTTTTTCAATATCACTTTTTGAAGCGTTTCTAATGGATGTCTTTAAAATCATATAACAATAAACTTTACAATAAGAGACTTGATTGTATAAACGAAAAAAAAGTATGTATAAATAAAAATGTGTACTAATTTTTTAGAATTTCTTTTTTATTTTTTGAAGTTAAATTTAGTTTGTTTAGACATTTTCAAACAATAGTATAGAAAATTCGCACTGATCAAAGCCGTATTATGTGAGGTATTACTGTTTTTGCTAGAATAATACAAAAAAAATATAGCTGACAAGTGTAATTACATTACAACAGTTTTTTAAATATAATTAATTAATTTATACATTTTATTTACGCTATTTATTATCCAAATTATTTATAATAAAATAAAATTTACCATAAATATTATTTTCATTTTATATTATTTTAAAAAATATTTCCGAATTTAATTTAATTTAACTTTTCTTTAAACGTTAACTAATATTTTTAACTCATAAATATTGAAAATGAGTATTTATCATGTATATTAATTTGTTGTATGTACAATTTTTAATCGACCTCAATTAATATATTAAGTGATTATGCAAGAAATCAAATTGCTTCAAAATTCATTTTGATTATTTAAAAAAAATGGACTTTGGCTTAGTTAAATATTCTGGAACTATAAAATCTAGTATACATGGTATATATTGAAATAAACGTTCTTTTCTTAATAAAGATATTAAAGAAACTTATAAAGGTTAAACAAGTTGTTGCAATGAATTCTGCTGCAATATATGATTTGAATTAAAATGAAAATTAGCTTTTGATTTTAGATAAAATAATTTTATTATGGTTTTATTACAGAAATCTTCCCAAAAGTAATAAAATTTATCTTGAATGTTGAAATTAATAAACTTTTTTAAATAATACTATATGTAATAACATAAACTTTTACAAATTAAAAATGGTATTTAAGTATGTAATTTGATTAATAGTAATAAATTAATTAATTAAGAAATATGTGTAAGTCATATGGCAATTAAAAAAGTAAATGAAGAATTATCAATCGTCAGTAAAATTTGTTTTTCGTAACTTAAAAAAAATGATTAATCTTATAAAGTAAGAATGTTTTGCAAATATATAATAATTAGGACTACTAATTAATGTTAATCAAATATTGGTTTCTACAAGGGGAAAAAATTGAAGTGTAATCATTAAATTACAATCAAATGTATAAAAATAAGCTGAATCTATCTATTGTATGTTATGTAATTAGAGAGATGTAATTTAATTAAAACTACTAATTAATGCTAATTCTCAAATGTCAAACATATGTAGGATTCCACGAGAGTAAAAAAAAACAAATAAAAAAAATTGAAGACGTTTGAGAAAATAAAAAAAAAGCGCAGACAATTTGATGTCTAAGTGAGAGGGGAATTGGACTCCGCCTAAGTAAATCATTCTGGGAGTGAATGGAACGGAGAACAAATAAGGCTCGGAAAGGAAGAGGAGAAAAAGAAAAGAGAGAAAAAGTGGTGGCAGAGCAGTGGGACGGTACGGTGAGAGGAGCGGAGAAAAGGAAACGAGCGTTCCGAAAATTACATACATTTTGCACCCATTAAATCAAATAAACTTGCCCCCTTTTTATCCGCCAAACAGTAATTAATATCGCGCAGGGAGACGTCGGATGCGAACGCAGCGATTGGTTGACGACCGTCGGAGGGTGTGGCCAAGGTAGGCGGAGCCGTAACCAAATCGGTTAACGCCCATCGGCTCTTGGACATCGGGTTGACTCTGCTTGGATTGTGCCTAGTCGCTATTGGACTTTTTATGTGTGCGGTTGTACCATCCGAGATTATACCATGATGGAACTATCGATGGGCAATAACAATAATAACAACAACAGTGATGTGATGTCGCGGTCGCGTCCGTCCCCGTCGCCACCGCCGCCGACGACGATGACTACTACCGCCTCCAGTGAAAACCACATCAAATCGGTGCCGAAGCCCTTCTCCATCGAGGCCATCATGAGTGACACGCTTCCTCGGAGCAGACCGCCGAATCCATGGAATACTTCTCCGCCGCAGCTTGTCCATCCCTACGTCAGCCACAGGGACACCGATTCAGATGGGAGCCTGGACATGGAACTTGCCGAAGATTTATCTAGAAGAAGTCAAAGAGATGGTACGTACTTACAATCAGATCTTATTCGCAAACATCTATAATAGCTATAATCCGATACAAGCTATACTTGTTACAGGATGTTGTCACAATTCAAAACAAATTTATTTATGTAACACCGACAAACAAAAAGTCTCAAATTAATAATAACAAAAACAGAAAATAAACAAATTAACAAACACATATTCAATTTAATTAATCGGATTGTTCAATTTCAGTTATCACAATTAAAACATACAAACAAAACAAACATACTTTTTTTTAAATATTGATAATGATTAATATTAAAAATAAACTGTTTCTTGTTACTATAGGATTAGCTTCGAAATTAATTAAGAAATTTTCATACTATTATTTATAGAATTAATTATTTTAACATATTTATAATTGAATATAATGTTTGAGAAAATCATTTTTTGAAAGAGAAATTCACATTTTATATAAAAGACAGTTTTTATATATAGTATTTCCTTTAGAAGTGTTGTTAAAATTGTTGTTGGTAACAATTATTATTATGTAAAACATTATTATCTAAATTCTTTAATTAAAAATAGTTTTCAAATCATAAATCACAAACCAATATTTAATTAACACTTTGATTATTCATGTTCTCTTCCGACTTCGCATAGACACATAACAGGAAGAACATTTGTTGAATAACATAAAAGACCTTGAAGTTTGCCTTATATTTTACTTAAATTTAAAATCACCAGACGAAATATATCTTTATTAAAGTGTTGAACAATTTTTCGACATTTGATATTACTGTTGCCTTCGATGTGACTTTTTCTAAAAAGTGTGTCATTTTGAGGAAAAACATAAAAACATAAGATTATGTATATTTTCTTCAATTAAATCATCGGGAAAAAAAATCAAGCATTTTCTTAAAGGATTGGTCATAGCATTCTATTGAGAAGGAGAATGTTACAAATTAATTGGTTAAAAAAAATATGTTGTTAAAGTACGGGAAAGTTTCTAAATTTGGACCACCTAAATATATTTTGATCTATAATGAAATGTTGGTTTCAAAACGATGAAATTTATATATATTTTCATATCTATGTTGACTATACGCGTAGATCAAGTTACTATAATAGTCCAATCTAGGCGACGGTCTAATTAAGGCAATCTGTTTCTATATATCTATATTATTAATAATACTAATTATTTAGTGACTAATTAATCATATCTATTCAATGAATTGTATGTAGTCTTATATATTATTCTACTCATAACTAATATTGTATGCTTTTTATTTGCTCCCAAATAAGTATAAGTTTTTGTTCGATCTAAACGATCGAGAAGGATTGGGACCACATTCAGCTAGCGTACGTTTGAAGTTGATCGATTGATTGATCGCGGGTCTTCGTGTACGTGAACCGTTGTTTGCAAATAGGATGGAAGTGGTGGCATGTATTATTTTCTGCGTACGTTGCATTGAAATTTCAATCAGAGCCGCCGTTTCAATATTTCGGTGGCGTTTCAGCTCCTTCTGTCATTTCGTCTGTTCCTCTCCACCTTCTTTCTTCCTTTTTTTGGTTGTACTTTTTTTGTATATCACCTTTCTTTCTTTTGCCTCTTTTTTTCTTCTTTCTTTTTTTTGCATTCGGCCCAGACATAAACAATACACGTCGATTTGCATATGTTAATGGTGTGACTAAGACGGCGAAATCCAGTATGGGCGAGTGCATTAACTCCCCAGATCATATATAATGGCTTCTGAAATTTTTATTTCGTGGATGTCTACATTGAATATCAATTGTGCGCAGATCAGTTCTGCGTACGAAAGAATTTCCAACGGAATATGGAAATACAGCCTACCCAGAAGCAAAGCCAATCGGATCAATGGGTTCGGAATACAGTATGTAAACGATTTAATTTCATGGATGCCGACAACGGATTCCAATTGTTCTGGGTTAATCTTTGGATAATGATAGGATTTACAAGATTGTTGGAATTGTTACCATTTATTTACTCATGAACAATTACTTACAATTGGAAGTAGGGTTAATATATTTGGTGTTGAAAGAAAAAATAACAATTAAATTGTTGATTATTTGAATCAAATTCAAGTTTAAATGATTATAATAGTACGTAAAGAATTTTTTTTAACATTATCAAATTTACTTTATTTTGTTATTAGAATATCATAAAATTGTCCATCAAAATATATTAAAGAATAAATAATAAAAATATGTTTTAATTGTTTACTTATTTCGTGGATGTTTAATTTCCATATCTATTGTGAGCAGATCAGTTCTGAATTTGTACAGTAAAAGCAAGATAAAACAACTTTATATGAAAAAATGTTAGAAAATTTGTTTAGAACATGATGCAAATCTTGTTTTTATAGTAAATGAAGTCATTAAGAAGATACAAGAAAGTTGAAACAATTATTTTTATTGACAAAAGTAAATTTTCTTCGTTAGAATTGGAAGATTTATTATTTCACCGAAGATCTGAAAATTATAGAATGAGACCCACTTCTATTAGTCATAATTCTAATTAATTAACAAAAAATCATAAAAATTATACTTTTGAAAATTTAGTTATAAATAATTTTCGGCAAAATGGAAGGATTTTGATGGATTTAGACGTTTAGATTTTATTACCAATAGTTGGAAACTTTGCCGAAACTTATATTCCTTAAATTTTGAGGACTAATCAATTAAATCACTGTTTTTGGAATAAGCAAATTGAATGACATTTTTATGAAGAATTTTGGTTTTGTTTCCAGATTAAAAGATAATTTACTTTAGCATTAATTTATGATTGTTTTAATTATTTTGCTACTTTGTAACGCTAGTTCAAATGTAATTAATTTTAGAAAGCAATTAAATCGTTGTTACTAATTCAACAAATAATCCACTTTGTTTGAAACTTTCAATGTTAAAATATGTTTTACACGCTTGCAAAATCTTTGCCAGAAATGTAGCCTCGATACAGATTTAGAATACATCAAGGATGGAGGCGCGATTTGCGTTAATTGCTGCAAAATTTGATTGTTGTTTGCGTTTACGGCTGGGTTTGCGGGCCAGCAATAATTCAGCTCATTGCTTCGGTCAATTTGACGTCTAATGGCACACGAATGGAAAAGTGTGTTTATCTTGACCGTAGTTCAAAGCGCGGAGCCAACGAATCGCGCCCTGCTTATAAATAGACATTCGCTTTCTTCCAACAGAATATTTCGGACCACCCAAAAAGAGAGCACGACACCTCGCGTATGAACAAAAAAAAAACAAGAGACGCGAAGTCACGTCACAAAAATCGTGCTCTATGCGCGACGAGGCGTTTCGGTGTTCACAGGAAATAATATATCTATGAATTTAATGACACCTAAAGATCGGGCTTTTCTCGCCTCTTGATCTTTAAGCATTCCTTCTAAATGTTCCATATCAAAAATACCATTTTTTTATAAGTTAATTCAAGGACCACTTTGGTATATAGATTGCAATAACCGATCCGAATGTTCTTGATTCTAATACTTCATAATTTAAAGTATTTAGTACAAGCAGACATGACAAAGTACTGCATTTTTGATAAGTCAAGTACAAACATTTAGTAAGTACTTAATTCTACAATTTGCTATTATTCTAAAATCGATTTTGCATCATTGTATTTGTTATTAGAATGTTTCAATATATTTAAACAAATTTTAACATTTCCTTGATTAACGTTGATTCGGTATAACGCGGTCTATTCGAAGCCTAATCTCTGAATTCAGTTACTTCCTATATATGTTCAAGTGACTTTGTTTAACGATTGTATGAGAACGCAGCTTAAGCACTAAACAAGGTTTGATTGTATATTAAAATTTTTGAATATCAAGCCAAAATTTTTAAATGAATGTTGAAATAAAAAATCTTATACGAAATAAAATCCGTTGTGTGATCGAAAAATATAATTTTTATTGGTTTTTTTTAAGTGAGAAGAAAAAATATATATTATATCATCAAATTAAGTACTACATGCAATAAACGTTGGTTAACTTACGTAACATGACAAAAAAGATAGGATATGAAGTTATACCATCGCTTGGTAAACTTTTGAGATGGAAGATCAAAACCTCTCAATTTTAGTTCAGATCCATATGTGAATGCATAAAAAAATGATTTCATCCTAAGTTAAATAAACTTTATCATAAGAACCAATATTTAAACCAATTATGTTTATTTGTTTTTAATGAAAGTGTTTTGGATATGATCGATTCGAACTTTAAATACTGTTATGGATTCACTAATAAAACCATAATAGATAAATGTATGTGCGATGATGCGAGTGGATCGATTCAAGTAGATAGAAGTAGCTGGAAAGCAATCGCCGAGTCGTGTGTACTAAACACAGTATAAATATCCGGTTTAATTATATTTTGCCAGGGGGTGGTTTTCGTATCCAACGAGGGTTGCACGATATTATTATACATTTGTCCCAAGCTTACTCACACCATGATTATATAATTCTACTGCCAACGAATGCATGTTTGTATGTTTGTGTATTGCGTGTGTTTATACGTGTGTGTGCATGTCGGTTGTTTTAATTCGTTTATCCGAGTGGATGTGTGCGTTTTGTGTGCGCGCATTCACGTTATAATTACGTTAAATTACATAGTCGAGAACGCTTTTATTACTTTATAATTCGATTACATGAATTCCTAATTAAATGTTATGATTGGTAAACGTACGCCTCCTCCCGGTGGCATCGGGAGGGTCGCATCGCCGCCCTTCGCGAGGGGCGCACTTAAGCATGAGATGTTTAATATTTCAGCATCGGGGGAAAAATGCAAACCGATAAAATATTATTCATAAAAGCAATTCGCAATTCAACACAATTTGTTATAATTTTCTTATAACAAAATAAACTACTATGGTAATTTGTTGCAATAAATGTTATTATTAAGTGTTGTTATTTATTAATTAATAATTGACAATTGAAATTACAGAACGCGGCAGAGAAACGGGTGATTGTAATAACTCAACAATTAAATGATTTAATTGATAAATTATAATATATATGAAATATAATGAAGCCCGGTAACAATTGCAAGCCCGACAACCGAAATACCGTCAATCAAATTCCCGACTGTATCGAAATTCCGACAACCATAATCCCGACTATATTAAAATCCCGACAACCATAATTCCGACTGTATCAAAATCCCAACTATATTAAAATCCCGAGAACCATAATCCCGACTATATCGAAATTGTCTTCATTAGCATTTTTACATTATTCCAAAGCGTAGTCACTTTTAAATTGTTATTAATAATAAATAACAACAATTAATAATCTACTTGATATAGTCGGGATTTCGAACGTCGGGATTTCGATACAGTCGGGATTTCGAACGTAGGGATTTCGATAGCCGGTATTTCAGTTGTCGGGCTTGAGATATAGACCCAATGTAGTTGAATTGCCAATGTCCAAGCAATTCTTGAGAAAATAGACTTTTATAATCCCGTTTCTTTGCCGCATTTTGTATATAAATTATAACTTCGTTATTTATGCATAAATACATTGAATTGGTACTCGAATTCCCTTATTTAATACATACTAATACTAATTGATAAGCTGATAATATACCGTAACCAATTCTTAAGAAAATAGGCTTTTATAATCGCCCGCTTTTTTTGCCGTATCTTGTAACTATTCATGAATCATTCCGTTTTAAGCTGACAATATACTGTAAGAAGTTAAATTGTCAATATCCAAACATTTCTTGTTAAAGTAGACTTATATAATGGCCCGTTTCTCTGCCGCATCTTGCAAATAATCATGAATTCTACTATATACCACTTCGGTATTACTGAATAAATATATGGAATAGGGACGTTTGAATTATTTGAAATAATACATACTAGTATTAGTAATTAGATTAAAACAAAGTTTGTCATAAATAATGTAAGATTTTGGAAGAACCAAACTCATGAAAAGTAACAAAAAGATAGCTATTATTTTGATTACTTCTATTTACTTACAATGGGTATTGGTTCCAATTATAGAAATTATAGAAATATTTGAAATTTGTCTTAAGAAAACCAAAGTCTTGATTAATGACAATTTTTTAAATTATTGAAGCATTTTGAAATTAAATTAATAATTTTGATAACGCTTTAAGAAACTTAAATGTTTTACCAAAAAATACATTTACTAATCTTTCTCTTAAATTATGAAAGTATTGCGAACATTTTCCTGAAGTCAATATAAATTATATTAAAGAAAATTGATTAAAATAACAGTAATTAAACTTCTTTTGTAGTGGAGCATAAAACGCAGAAATGCAAAAAGAAAGAGGGATAAAAATTACTATTTAAAAAGAAACATAACACGCAATAAATATATTCTCTCGTTTTTTTTCTGTATTATAATTGTTCACTCGCTATTCCTCGATTTCACTTTGCACCCCAAGAGGGTGAATAATCCTGGGAGTTTGGACGTATTTTATACGGTTCTCTATATTACACCCTCTCTGTTTCTCTTTCATTGAAAGCGGCCCGACAAAAAAAATAAAAATCGAGGGTGAACTGAATAAAGAACAAAAAAAAAAGAGCACGCACCCCCGTTTTCATACTTAAAAACCGGCAATAGATTTCGTCTCGCAGAATTTATAACGTTTTCTTTTTTGGCAAGACTACGAATATGAAAATGAGATTGATGAATAGTCAACAGTTTTATACAAAAAAAAATATAATCAACTTATACTAAGATTAAATTGTATTATGATTAAAATGTTAGATTAATACTAACCCCAGCTTTTTGCGTGCTCAAATCAGTATAAAATGTGCGTATTATACTCGAAATTTTACGATATTACATATGTTTGGAGATTCTAAAGGTGGTTAAACACTAAAAGTTATTTGTTATGTAATTTGTCAAGTACTTGCAATGCAAATAATCCAAACAATTATGATGTATATACTTAATATCCAGAACTTGGTTGTCTCAACTTAGTCGTGCAATAGTTATATGTAACGAAATGACAGCTGTCAACTATCACTTTGTATTGAAGCGAGGAACAAACAAATATGTTGGGTCGCTCGTCTGAAAGTTTGAGAAACACTGTTTTAGAAGTATTTTGCTAAATTGTTGGCACATCCCAAGACAAATTGCTTGTTACTAATTTAAATTGCTAATTGTTTTGTTGCAGGATCAGATTTAGATGATGATTTGGAGGAAAACCACTCTTCTGAGGGCGTCTGCGAGGGTTCCGGTTCGGCAAAGGCTAGACGCAGACGGACGGCCTTCACCAGCGAGCAACTCCTGGAGTTGGAGCGTGAATTCCATGCGAAGAAGTATCTCTCGTTGACAGAACGCAGCCAAATAGCATCAGCGTTGAGGCTGAGCGAGGTCCAAGTGAAGATCTGGTTCCAGAACCGCAGGGCCAAGTGGAAGAGAGTGAAGGCGGGTTTGGGTGCCGGTCCACATCAGCAGAAGGGAAGCCAAGGACCGAACAAGAGCAAACTCGTCGTCCCCATACCGGTGCACGTGAATCGGTTCGCAGTGAGGAGTCAGCATCAGCAGCTGGAGAGGGCGCTCGGCGATCTGGCCGGAAGGGTCCTGGCCAGTCACGCCGCCCTCAGGGCGGGCCTGGATCTCCATGGATACCCACCAACCGGTCCTCACTGAAAGACCGTTTCGCAACTATTATTTTTTTCACTCTCTGTACATATTTAGAGTTCAATCGAGCGCCGCCAGACGAACACAAAAACAAAGCAACTCATCGAAAATTTGAATATTGGCGCGCATCAATTTCAATTAATTTCCGTTTGTCAATTAGGCGGAAAGCGTTTCCGATCTTTCGCGTTTCCCTGATCAATATTCAATTTTTGAAGCGCGCTCGGTTGATTGAATTAAGTTTATATACATACATTTTTATCGGTTCTTTTCGGAGATCACCACATATATATATACATGTTTATTTTATAAAAAAAAATATTATTTTTTTTTAAATCAAGAGTATAGAATTTCGTGCAATATCAATCATTATTTATATTATTTTTTTACTCCGATTTTGTACATATTACGAATTTAATAATAATAATAATAAAAAAAAGATCAAAATAAAAATTGATTTCAATTTTTATATAATACTTGTATCTGTTTAGAAGATATCTAGATTGTAGGAAGAATTATATAATATATATATATACAAAAAATCCCTTCTACCCATTTTTTTTTGTTCTTCTTTATAATTAATTAATTTATTGAAATTTATTACTAACATGTTATATAAATAAATTACGAAACAAACAATTTGCTCACATTGTACATACGTATAAATAATAAATGAAGATAAAAACGAGGAATTTGCTTGCATTTGCTTTTCTTTTTTTTTGTTGTAATATTTAATTGAATGTATTTATGTGATTCATGTTTGAATAATTCCAGAAGGAGGAAGACGAAGCTGAAAGCACCGACGTAACACAGGCGTTGATGTGATGTGTGATGGCTGTCGTTGGATGGATTATTTTGGATTCATATCGCGTCCACATTTATTATTTTCAATATCGTTTTGCTTTTGTTAATTTGTCGGTTCATTTCACATTCAGTCGACGTGTAAATTAAATTCAACGATTTGACGAACGCCTGAAATAGGGTTTCGAAACAATCGTCCGCAACAAATTCGTTTATTTATTAAGTGATTCACGATTATTGGGAACGTATATACTTGGCCGTAGCGGAATCCTTAATTGGTGACTTGATTACTGATTTAATGACTAATTAAGCGCTCGACGACAGGTAATTAATTTTGATTTTATTTAACACTTAATTTGTTCGTTGTTGATAGTGACACTCATTGCGCGACAGTGACAGTATTTGTAATTTCCCTCATTGAATATTACAAATTACTAGGAAAGTATTAATCTGTCTATTTACTATTTACTATATAGTTTACTATTTTTCAAGTTAATTGGGACGTACCTTTACGCCATCACTATCGTCATTCAATAAATCTTTTGATCTTGTGCTTTGACACTCTGCTATGAACTAACTTGTGATGTATCAAGTAGTGAAAGACTATATGTTTCTTATAAACTATAGTTATTTAAGAAATCTTATGATCTTGTGTAATGGATTTTGATACTCTGTCGTGAATAACTTGTGATGTATCAAGGAACGAGAAGTCTTACTTTTAATGGTAATAGATTATTTTAACATTACCAACAACCATAATGTCTTTTGCTTTTATGAATTTAATTAGGTCAATGTCAATCTTGTGTCGTTATATTTTTCACTTTTAATTCTACTTGGAAAGTATCAAGTTACTTCATCACTACCGTAATCGACCATACCGTATCGATGTGTAATATTCTTTAATACTCTGATGTGAAAAAACTTGTGAAATACCAAGTAGTGACTTACCACGTATAATAGTGACTACCGTCAAATGTATTTTGTTCATATGTGTTTACGGTTTTAATACTATAATTTACATGGAAAGTGTAATGTTCAACATGTGTAGTGTTCTTTGATACTTTTCAGTGAATTAACTTGTGAAGTAGCAAGTAGTGAGTAGAATTTATTATCTCATCTCTACTGTCAAGTATGTCAATTTGTTTTATTCTTTTAATATTACAAGTATCAAGTTCATTATTGTGAAATTAGAGCATTAGAGTATATCTACTTGTGAAGTATTGGTATTCAATATTACTTAGGAAGTACTGAGTAGATTTACTAAAGTAGTAATCTGTTACCTCTTCACTACCATTAAGTCAACTGATCTTGTGTATTTTGTGAAGTTTTCATAATTTTCAGCCTTTAATATTAGAAGTTACTTGAGAAGTATCAAGTTGTAAATATCAATTTTTATAAATCAGTATGCAAAGTTAAGAAATAATCAATCATCCAACTACCATCGACAAAATACGTTGCTTAACTTTCATAACATGTAAAACATAAAATACCACTTGACATTCTAATTGATATTATTATCGTGTAGTTTAATTTAATTCAATTTTTATTCAAATTTAATTACGTAATTAAAATTGTTCAATGCTAAATAGACGTCATTACGAAGACTCTTTGACTCAGTAATTGTTTAAATATATTCAATACTTCAATGACAATAAAAAAACGATTTATCAATTGGATTGTATACAATAATCATGAAATAATAAGACTCATCGACATTTCTTGCACTTTTTTATGAATGAAACGAAATGTTGGATGTTCCTGCATTATGAATCAACGTTTAATATACAGAGTGAACATGAACTTGTATCAACATAGAGTGAATTGAGATTCAATCATTTCAAGGTCGTAATAATTAATTTTAATGTTTTTCATAAATAAAAATATAAGTTTCTTAAAACCATATGATTTTTTAAAGCACTATTTTTAACAAATTGAATTGACCTCATACTTTTGAAGCAGATTTCTTATATAGAAGAAGTAAATAATTAGATGTAATTAATTAACTTATGTCTATGGAAAAACTATGCAATTCAAGCTGAAATATTATACTTAAAAGATAAATATTTTTTGAAATATTAACCTTGAACTTCGTATATAATTGATTATATAATTCGTAATTGCGAAGTGATAACGATCGTATCGTTAAACATTTCGTATAAATAATGAGCCGCATCCTTAAGTGCAGTTTCGTGTGACAATAATAATATTTACACACAATGGAAGAGTCGCAACAAGCAAAATCCGATGCGTTGTTTTATCAACGCAATTCATTACGAGGCAATAATAAATTAGTAATTGCATTCATTTACATCGACGTATTATTACCAACACTCATGGTAGGTAATTTGCATCGGGTAAACGGGAAAAACAAAAGAATACGCATTCATTTTTTTCAATTGAAAGACATTATCGTTAATAATTCATATCGCAGCATTTCTTTTCATTGGAAAATTACTTTTAAAAGAATTAAGGTAGAAAATCATTATGTATCGATTTACTTTTCTTTTGTTACATAATGTAACATAAAACATTGATTATTATATACACAATTATTTTTTTTATTTACATGAGATAATATTTATTGAAACAGTAAAATTACAAAATAAAAAAACTCTATTCAATAATATAAATATCATAAATCAAAAAAGTCAACTGCTTCAAAGGGCTATTGACAATAAGTCCATCTGCCCTTATTTACATGTTATAAAACAGAACACTTAGCAAATCGGTTCGTTGTTGATATTAGGAACTTTCCAAATGGCAACATACATGGAAAACATGAGTCTCATTTTAAGGTGAAAATAACATTCATCGACTTTGATTGGTTTATACAATTCGCCATTTCCTGAATCATTCCTCAAGCAGATTAAACTCTTCTTAAAAATGTCGAGATGCAATTATGGGGTTTTCATCTGATGACATGATTGCCTTGTCGACTGAAAATGTTGCCTTGTTTGATTTATCTGTTGTTGCAGTTACATCTGCAGTATATAAAGGATATAAAATTGGACCCACAACACTTCCCTTTGGAACAATTAATTCAATGAAACACAGCTTAGTATGAATTTCTTCAAATTTAATTAAAAAAACTTTTTGTCATTTACAACTTTGTGGAAAGCCTGTGAGACACACCAAGGAATAAAGATGAGCAGTATCTATTCTCTTCCAGATCCTGGCCGATGGCATCAACTAATCGATTAACCTATTGTAACGTGACATATTCTTCACGAAATCTAAACTTGTAATCTGGTATAAGTTTATTTTCGTGGATTATGTGTTGGAATCTCTATAGAAAACGATTTACAATCACTTTCGATTGTAGTGAATTGTAGACATAAATATTGAAAAAATATGAAAATTTACTAAGAAATTTAACTCTGTTTTAACTAGGAGAATGGAAATAAATGAAAATAATATTTTATTTAGTTAATATGATTACATACATATAATTACACTATCAATATAATATCTAGATTATTTATGTTATTAAAAATATAATCCAGTGTATTTCTTATAAGAACTTTTTCTTACAAGAACAATTTCTGAAATAATTTTAAAATTTGAATAAAAATGGTAATACTATATTATATAAAAAAAATAATACATTTAAGTAATTGATATTAATAATTGTGTAATATATTGTAAACATATTATTGTTTTAAAAACTCTGTTTTTTTACTATAACTTCACAATATAAGTAATAATAGGTTAAATGATTTTATTAGATAAGTTTTTATTGTTTATTTATCAATGTAAAAGAATATGTGGAAATAATTTATTATTTTATAGTAATTTGTTAATATTCAATATAGGAACACACAATTATAGTGGATTATGTTGTATAATTTATTTTGCTGACAGATAAAATTATTTATTATCTAATTAATTGCAGTAAATACGAATATTATATTACATCATTGAAAATAAATCACATAGACGTAGAGCTCGTAATTCAATAAGTGTATTAATTATTTACATGGGAGAATATTGAATTTGTTTGGGGTGGATTTAGTGCGCTGCATGGGGCTGCATGAGTCGTTAGATGGCATCGCGTATGATGATGATGATAATGATGATGACACGTGTCGGCGTCGTTGTAAGTAAGAAAGCGAATCGGGATGACAAAAGAGTCGGGAGACCTAGGCGCAGGATCAGGATCATGATCGGGAAGAGCCTGGGATAAGAAGGCACATATGGGACCGCAGCGTACAATGTCACAAAAGGCATCCCATTAGTCCGGCTGTAATGTTGGCAAATTGTTCGGTGGGAGGTCCCGGCCATATATCACCCTTCTCGGGCATTGTGCGTTGCAGCCCTCTCGGATCCTCTCCTTCTCTTCCAGATCCATGTGCCTTCCAGCACTAATCCTAAGCACCGGCCCGAAGTTAAACTGTTTACCCACTTACCGCACGGTTCATTTATCCATTCCACCCCGACTAATTCCATAAAAATCGCCCTCAGCCTCCCC